GAGGTTTTAACCAAAAGTGAGAGCTGGGTCCCCCAAGGTCCGTATTGTTGCCCTAATATCTGAAGAGGGTATAAATACAAACTTGAGGAAAAGCCTCCGGGGACACACACATCAAGAAACATTTCCCTTGTTCATCCTTGGAAGGAAACCACCCTCACTCCAAGAAACTCTCACTAAGAACCGTTGGAGAAAGCAAAGAGAAGAAGCAGACTCTTAAGTGGCATTTGGGAGCTGATCTTCAGCTCATTTTCTTCATTTTCTCATCTTTGTATTATTCTCATTCCTACATTTTGTTTGACTCTCCTTATGGCTGTGCATAGCTAACCAACTTGTGTAAGGGGGAGATGTTCTAGACTTATTTTATGGGCTATAATTATGCTGTTTGTTTTAATGGAAGTGTGTTTTGAGTTGAAGTTGTTTATCACTATAGTTTCAATGTGCTTGATCACCATTTTTAAATGTCTCTTTGATAATGTTTGGATAAATGTGTTAAGGAGCGAAACCCTTCATCTTGAGCTGGATTCTACTTAAGTTTAGCGTGTGGTGACTTAGGAATAAGCATTACCTAGCTTGGTCATAAAACATGTGTCTATATGCTATTGATGTTGGTCTATGAATGTTAGTAGTAGAAAATCTGGGGTGTTTGGAAGAGCATCTTGTCTGTTTAACCAGTGCACTTACTCCATTAATGCTACAGCATAGTTAGGGTGGCCCATAAGAGTCGATTTACTCTCCTCCTTTGCGCCGTTAATTTTACAAGATCTTACTGAGTGATTGTGGATGTTCGGTACTTCTAACGAACTTACCCCTTGTGTTTGCATTAAGATATTTATTTCAAGGTTTTTATCTCAACACTGAGTAGTTATTATTTGAAAGAAAAGTCTATTGTAAAAAAAAAAAGGTTTAAATTATGGATTGGGGTAGGGGGATTCAAACTCATGACCTATTAATTAAAAACATGGACAAATTACTGTTGAACTATATTCATGTTGACAGTTTCTTTTGAGTTTTGAGAGACACAGAAAACAAAAAGGGAATCAAGAGTAGGGAAGTAAATATAACCCAAATGTAGGTGCAAAAGTAGGGAATAAAATCCTTTTCTATAATTGTTTAAAATAAATTAAAACTATAAAAACTTTTGGAATTATAAATTTTTTTTTAGTCAAACAATTTGATCGGGGATTGAACCTTGGAGGGAAGGAATAAATATCAATTACCACTTAATTATGCTCCTATTGACTTTGAAATTCAAAATTATTTCAAATTATATAACTAATTATAATTAAATGGAAATAAAGTTTTTAAATCTTTAGGTTTCATATTTACATTGAACAATACAAGTGTAATGCCACAATGCACGTAATATTCTTTTTATTTAATTTTATACTGATATAAATAAAAAAATTTAAAAATATCACTATTTATTAAAAAAATATATCAAAAGTAAAAAAGAAAAAATTCCTAAATTAATCGAATTAATATAACTCAAGTTCGTTGGTGGCATGTGAGAAAAATTCACTTTATATTATATTTTAGAAAGAATTATAAAACTTTTGAAATTTAAAGTCAATTAAAGCTCTATTAGTTAATTATAAATGAAGATAATATATATACTTAGATGAAATATTTTAAGAAGTGAAATAACAAAACTTTTCACCTTCAATATTTTAAAATTTCTAATAAATTTCATTTATATAAAGTTAATTTTCCAACCATTATATTTTACTTATTAAAAATATGATTGATCTTTTTTTAATTTTTAACATTATGAACTTATCAATTTTTTTTTTTAAGAAATGGATACTCATAATTTTACATTTAAAAGTTAATTTAACTTATTTTATTTGTGTAATTAACTAATAAATATAATAATTAGTATAATAAAAAAGTTATTACAATAGAAATATATTTTAAAGTTTTAATTTAACAGATTTCTAAATCGACATAATATTTTTAAACAAAATTTCCTATACATATTAAAATATAATTTTTGGCTACTTTAATTTAACTAGTTAATATCACGTGCAATGCACGTGGTTATAAACATTTAATATAATATTTCTAACAATTTAACATATAGAATAACAACTCAACAGAACTTTTAAATGCACTAATATTTAGTTTCAAATAAAATATATTTAATATAATATTTCTACCAATTTAATATATAGAATAACCGCCCCGCGGAACTTTTAAATAGTACTAATATTTTGTTTCAAATAAAATATATTATTCGTTGTCAATTTTTCTTTTTTAAGAAACAACAACAATCTTTTTGTGTGTTTTCTTTATTGACTCATTCTTTTATCTTTTGTATATTATGTAATAAGGAAGAATGAACCAAAATTAAAGAATTGAAAATTTTGATAGAGAAACTGAATACTATGTATGCTATGAAATCATTGAAAAAAAATGTGGAATAAAGAATCACATGACCAAGAAAAATAAAATAAGAACAACAACAATCACAAAGTCATATTAAGATAAATAAGAAAACTAATACTAAAATATAACATGAATATATTTTAAAACGTGAAAAGAACCTTAACTAAATATTAAATCAAACTTGAAAATAACATTAACTAAATATTAAAACACGAAGTAATCATGAATATATAACTTAAAAGTAATCCACATAAAAATATTAAAATAATCTAAAAGAAATAAAAGTTGAAGATAATACGATACATGATTTTGTTACTCTACCTCTTAATCGATTAAATATATTTATGGAATGTCAAATATTCTTTTGACATGGTTCAGTTTTCACTCACGAAGATAAGAAAAATATTCATTAATATTTTGGAAATAAGTTTTAGGTCATAAAAGAAAAAGACATAATCTTTCATTTTATAGATTATTTGCTATGACACCTATACGTGGATAGATTCATCACTTCATCAAATATTTGTAATTTTTATTAGATTAACTTCTCTCAACACACCTTTTCACTCGAACAGTTACAACTCTTTTGGATTAAACTCCTTGTTTCATCGAATGGTAACAACTTTTTGGATTTGTTATCTCAACAGACACTTTAACTCGAACAGTTGTGTCTCTCGTAGAAGTTTGAAGGGCAAAATAGGTATATATTCAAAAATTGGGGGCAAAATGGGAAGACAAAGATTCTGCTCCATAGCCCCATTTAGATATAGTATAGATATAGATAGTTACTAAAAATATGCTATTTTCTTTAAATAAAATTCAAAAAAATAAAAATATTAGAATTATTGCTTAATGTTATTAGGACATAGAATTGATGAATAATCCATATCACATAGATAAATTTAAAACTTAGTAATAATTAAATTTCAAAATCTTTGAAAAAAAAAATCAATAACAATTTTAATTGTAAAATATGTTCGGAAGGATTAAATACCTGAATTTTTCAAAGATTGTCCACTTTTGATTAATGTTTGAGATCAAATTGCATTGTAAGATTGAATGACCTCTACTTATAAACCACGTTATCTTACCACTCTTATAAATCGATAAATTTAATGTGTTAGGCCATTGTGCAATAATAACACTACTAAATATATACAAATGAAAAGAATGAATCAAAAAATGAGAAGTAAATTAAATGAGAGAGCTAAATTGTTGTAGGAGGAACTCTCACGCACATATATATGTATATATATTAGATATATATATAGATACATACGTATATATATATATATTAGATATATATAGATACATACATACATATACATACATACACATGCATGTAGAGAATGTATATAAATCGAAAAACTTTTGAGATTCCAATCCCTTTTAAATTCCATTAATTCTAATTAAAGTAAAATCTTAAATTGTTAAAAATACATAAACATAACTTTCATATTCCAACTCTTCGTATTCATAACTTTTCGTATTCATAACTTTCACTTTTCACTTTTTTTTATGAATCAAAGTTATTAAAATTTAAAAAAAGGCATGCTTAGTAATTTTAAAAATTAATAAATATGGTTCAAAAATGTTTTTCCAAGATAGCTCTATTTTTAATATAGTTTAGATTTGAAAAAGTGAAAAGACAAAACTTTTCCCCTTCAAAATCCTTAGATTCCATATTTACACTAAACAATAAATATTTTTTTTTAAAGTAATATAGCATGACGATGATTTTTTTTCTTTTTTTTTAACAACAAAACATGAAATAAACTAAAAATTAGGGGCCCAAGCGCCCGACAGTCGTCTCAGACGAGAAGAAGAGGGGAGGGACATTCCTCCAACCACACTCCAAAAACCTCATCATCCACAACCATCCTTGCTAATGCATGAGCAACTCTGTTGCAAGATCGAGGGCAATAAGAAAAGCTCGCAAATTTCAAGAATCGCGTAAGATCAACAATCTCTTTCACCAACCAATCGAGCTCCGAATCGGCATGACGATGATTTAAACCTTCCCTCCCAAGTTACTCGTGTCTTGATATATAATTTGATTGGCAAATGAAAAACATTATCAACCATTTGTTTTAAATACAAATTTATTAAATGACAAAATTGATGAATAATCTATACTTTAAGAAAATGTCGTAAAAATATTAAGAAAATGTCGGTAGAGAAGGATACTGTTACAAGACCACAAAAATCAAGAAAATCATAACAACATTAAAACTAATAATTAAACATTTTACACTTTTCAACTAAACTAAAAATATTTATTATTAATACTATGTTAATGTCAAAATTTTTACACTATAATAAAAATAGCAAATTAACTGCTTAAAAAAAAGGAGAAAAAAAAAAGAGTAGTGTATCGTGCTTGTCACGTGCGATTTGGAGGTCCTATAAATAACGGCCAACGGCAATGAAGCAACGAAACCGTCGCGTAGATGCCTAGCAATTCTCTTCGTGTTCTCTCTCTCTCTTCCGCGCGCCAAAATTTTTCAACATTCCCACCCCTCTCCTTCTCTTTCCCCAAAACCCTAACTTACAATCCCACATTCAATTCCCTCTTCTAAATCCCAAACTCCAACTTTGATTCTCCATCTTAATTCATGGACGATTCTTCCGTAATCGTCGATCAAGAGGCCTCCGGAATAATCGTGGACCACGGCGCTCAAATTCCCAATGCTCTTTCGACTTCCTCCATTAATGGCGCCGACATCAGCGCAGATGGAGCAGCTTCCGGTTGCTGTTTCTTCGTCGCCGGCGATGGAACTGACGATTCGTCGTTTCCCGTTTCGAAGAGGAAGTTTGGATTGGGAAGCGGAAACGGCAATTTTGACGCGGAAGACGAAGAAGGCTGTGTTCCGATCGCGAAGTCGCGTAAACTCGAGATTCCGATGCTTGTGGCGCCGCTGCGGTCTGTGAAACCCACGCAATCTGTGAACTCTGTTTCTCCTGGTTCCGTGGTAGCAGAGGATCTTACTCTGCCTCTCTCGACGTGTTCGATGGAGGGTTTTGCGGAGAACAGAGGGGCTAGTCCGCCGATTAACAGCTGCAGGCAGTTCTGGAAAGCAGGGGACTATGAGGGAAACAGCGACATTGATCCTATTTCGAGTTCAGGTAACTTCAGAATTCCTCTGTTTATTTATTGCTCTGTTCTTAGCTAGAGAAGTAGAATTTAGCGTTTCATTGCTCTGTCCATGTGGTGCATTTGTTAAGCAAGTATTTCCTTCTGTGTTGGACGCTGTACTCTCCCACTGGTAGGCTTCGATAATTGTAACAAGTGAAAATCATAATCAGTGAAAGGGAAATAACAATGAGAGTTCGAGCATAGAACATCTGATACCATGATAACAATGAATAAATCACCGCTCAACCCAATCTCAACAGAAACCTAGGCTATTGAAAATCAATGTAACATTAAAAGAAAACAGTGGATTCAATTTCATGAAATTGTCAATGGAATTAGTGTTCTGACATTTAAGTTTTGTATTTTCTAGTTGGTATGGATCATGTCAGAGTACATCCAAAATTTCTTCATTCCAACGCCACCAGCCATAAGTGGGCTCTGGGAGGTAAGAAAATTAAAATCTCTTTATCTTCCTCCTTTGTTTCCAAGCATTTGTTGCAATAGGTTTACAGTTCCATGTTCTTATAAATTTGACATGTCCAATATCTCTCTCTTCATCTGCAGCTTTTGCAGAGCTCTTGGACAATTCTTTAGACGAGGTATTGAGAACTTGCCTCTGATTTTCCTCTGCAAATCAACAGTTTTAATTTTAATTCGGTTGTTGCTAATTTCTTGTAGGTTTGCAATGGGGCCACATACGTTCATGTTGACGTGTTGGAAAATGAAAGGGATGGTAGTAAAATGTTGCTAATTGAAGGTATGTGGGCTCCTTTATTTGCTCTGAGGTTTTATTAAGATTTAGCACTAATTAATTTCCGTTACCAACTAGGCAATCTAATTAAATGCTTAATCTTTTCGCATACTTTAAAGAGTAATTGTAACGTTCTCATCTCATACATGGATCTTAAATGCAGACGACGGCGGTGGGATGAGTCCTGATAAAATGCGGCGTTGCATGTCTCTTGGCTATTCTTCAAAGCGGAAAATGGCCAACACTATTGGTCAATGTATGCAACTTTTTACTTGTTCTTTAAACACTTACACTGCAGATTTTTGGTCAATTGTCTCGGAAAAGAACTTTGAAATCTGAATTAATAATGTGTTTGTCTCAGATGGAAATGGGTTCAAGACAAGTACTATGAGGCTTGGAGCGGATGTTCTTGTGTTTTCACGTTGCAAGGGAAGTGATCAAAGAGGGTTAGTTCTTTCATATGCAATGCTTATAATCACTGCCTATTAATTATTCTTATATTTGTTTTCCCTTGCCATCCCATGTATTAAGGCTGTGTTTGTGATGGTACAATTAGTGATTTTGAAAAAAGAGATTTAAGTATGATTGATCTTTCAATATCATAGTGATATCTTAAAAATAAATTTAAAATGATTTTAAACTTTATTAAAATCAATTTTTTTTTAATTTATCAAACATGATCAATGAAAAAGAAAGTCATTTCGACAATGACAAAAATGATTTTGACCATGTCAAAATCACTTCCAAACATACCTAAAAAGCTTACTTAGGTTACATTTGGAAGTGATGGTAAAATGAGTGATTTTAAAAAAAAATATTAAAATATAATTGATTTTTCAAAACCAAGTAATATTTTAAAAATTCATTTGAGGTGATTTTAGATGACTTTCCTAAAATCAAATATTTAATTTGCCAAATATAATCAATAAAAAGAGAAGTGATTTTTACGACGACAAAAGTGATTTTTACCATGCTAAGGTCACACTCAAACAAACATTTACTTAACCAGCAACTTATTTAATTTTGACTCACTAAAAGTGAATCCCGTCAGAAAGTAAGTAGAAGCTTTTACTTATATTATTCCTTCTTGATTTCCCTTTTTATAGCCCAACACAGAGCATTGGCATGCTGTCATACACATTTTTGAGGGACACCGGAAAGGAAGATATTGTGGTGCCCATGGTGAGAAAATTAGTTAATTAGCCAGATTAGTAATTTTTAATATATATATTAGCTACATAGATGGTAATATTTAAAAAATGGATCATTTAATCACTTTTTTTTAAATGGTAAGGTTGACTTTGAGTTTAAAGAAGATTGTTGGAGCAAGATGATGCGCTCTGAAGATGATTGGAATAGAAATCTTGAAATTATAGCTCGGTGGTCTCCTTATTCAAACAAGGAGGATCTACTTGAACAGGTATATGTAAATATTTTTAATAAGTAAAGACTCGGTTGGTAAATATTTTCCTTTCTATTTCTATTTCTTGATTTAAGTTTCATTATTTCCTGTTTTCTAAAGGTAAAGAGAGATGCATTTTTTGTTCTTTTTCTTAATTTATTTACTAATGGTGTTAGAGACGTATGTAGCAATAATTTCATATTTATTATTCAAAAGATTTTTTTAATAAAAATCTTTAAATTCTCTCTTCAAAATTTTTAGAATTAAAACATTATTATGTTGTAGTCTAGAATTAAAACATTCAAAATTATTTGTACTAAAGAAGAACATTCAAAATTATTATGTTATTTTTTTGAGGTAATGTTATATAATTAATTCATTCTTTTGAAGGAAAGATTCAAATTCTCGCATACCCCACATTTATTGTATTGAAAGTTAAAGTCATAACGACCACCTACTTAGGAATTAATTTCATGTTTTCTTGCCTCAAATGTAGTAAGGTTAGATAATTGTCTAGTAAGATTAGTTAGATCCACACAAACTGGCCTATACACTTATAAATATTTAAAAAAAGGTCATTTAAGATAAAGTAGTTGTTTGTTTAAAATTATTTTTCAATTGCTAATTTGAGTATAATTCAATAGTTAAGTCATTTACGCCCAAAGTTCAAATTCTAAGTAGCTCTCACATGGGTTGCACAAAAAAAATTTACTAAAAAAATATGTTATGTCAAATGCTTGGTCAAAGTTGGTTTTTCATTCTTAATTTATTTTCAGGAGTAATTTATTTAGAAAAGCTAAAGTAAAGTTATGCGTCTTTCCAATATTACCAATTTTTTTTTTCTTTTCGAGTTCCAATATTACCAATTTTTGTTACTTACCCCTAATTATCAACCATCCATGCACAATCTTTACAAATTATTCCATTAAAAGTTGTACATTTTGGCAATATATACACACTCTCTGCTACTTAGTTTTCAAATTTCCTTTCAAAATTTATCTGCTCATATTTTGTATTTGATGTATTGTTCAGTTCAATTTTCCGAAAGATCAGGGAACGCGTATTATCATATACAACCTTTGGGAGGACGATGAAGAAAGCCTGGAGCTCGACTTCGACGTTGATCCACATGTGAGACGATATATAATTTCATTAAATAATATTTCTTGTAATTTTGAGTCATGAATTAATAATCAAACTATATATAACATAAAATAATGGCAGGACATTCAAATTAGAGGAGGTAATCGAGAGGAGAAGAACATAAAAATGGCACAACTCTATCCAAACTCCCGCCACTACTTAACCTATCGACATTCACTGAGGGTACGTATATGGATTTGGATTATATTATATGTTTTTAATTAAATTGTATATAATGATGCGTTATATTATTAATTGATGATGATGAAATGAATATAATGTGGTAGATTTATGCATCAATTCTGTACCTGAGACTGCCTCCGGGATTTAGAGTTATTCTGAGAGGGAAAGATGTGGAACATCACAGTATTGTGGATGATTTAATGTTGACAAAGGACATCCTTTACAGACCTCATCAACTTCCCTCCCGAGCTGCGCAAAAACAACATTCTGATGTAATACCTCCCCATTTCCCTTTTCCTCTCTCTTTTTAATTAATTTTGCCCTTCATTTATATTATTTTGGTTCTGAATTAATTAAACATGTTCTCTTTTGAGGAAAATCATATTTTGATAGATAAATTTCAAAACCTACCATACATACACACAAAATGTTCATGTACCTTGAATAAAAAGTGACTATTTTGGTTCTTTTATTTTGATTCATGTACCTTGTTCATTTTAGTTACTGTATCTTCAAAATGTTCATGTACTTTTAATTAAAAGTGACTATTTTGATACTCTTTTTTTCAAAATTTTAACACAAATTCTATGTATAAAGTCATATACCTTTCAAGAAATATATCGAGTTTAGTATCGTGTTGAAACTTTTTGATAATTTTTGTTGTATTGAAATGGTGAATAGAAAAAAATTAGATTAAAATAAAATTAAAAATTAAAATGATCACTTTTTTAAATGATAGGGAATGAAACTTTAAAAAGGATTAAAATGAACCTATTTGGAATAACGTATTAAAAATATAGAAACTAAAGGTGGGGTTTTGCTTTGTTTCGTTTCAGTTACGATCCTTCCCTTTTTTTTGTTGTGCGAACAGATGTCCGTGACGGTGACAATTGGCTTCGTAAAGGATGCACGATCCCACATCGACGTTCAGGGCTTCAACGTTTACCACAAAAATCGGCTAATAAAGGTTTATTTATGTTATTTTCTTAGAAAAGGACCCACAAAAATTCAAATATTGTATCACGCACAAAAAATAAAATAATAATTCTCTCTGTTTACCTTCAACTGACTGACCATTTTTGTCGCGTCGCCAGCCATTTTGGAGGATATGGAATCCTGCCGGTAGTGACGGCCGTGGAGTTATAGGTGAACCTTTTAATTTCTCTCCTTAATCCTTACTCTAATTTAAACTAAAAACTCAAATTTTCTAAATATATATATATATACAGTATACATATTTTAACGATATAATTAATTAATTATCAGGTGTATTGGAAGCAAATTTCGTCGAACCAGCTCACGACAAGCAAGGCTTTGAGAAAACCACTGTACTCACGAGGCTGGAGTCACGATTAATCCAAATTCAAAAGACTTACTGGTGGGTAAACTAATTGTAAATTCTCATTTTAATTCCTTTTTTGTTTTTTCTTCCTGAGATTTATGTTATGTTTTGATTAAATTAGGACACAAAATTGCCATGAAGTTGGTTATGCTGCGAGGCGACGTTGTGTGGAATCAGATCATAAATTGAATTCACAACCGAATCCGATTGGTAAAAAATCCCCTGTGAATTCGGAGAAAATAATATTGCCACATGTAGGTGTAAATAATGTTTCAACTCAAGCTGGAACCAGTCCGGGATCAACCATGTACACTTCCAATTCTCACCAACTCCCTGCCGCGTCGTCACCTGCAATTGCAAGGGTTAGCCAGATGTTTGGACACCTGTCGCCCTTGCTACAGGTATCGTGTCTTACGTTTAATTTAGAACTTGTTTGATAACTATCTTGGTTTTCGAAAACTTTGTTTTAAAAGATAAATATTAGCTTAGGTCCCAAGAATAACCCAGTTGACAGAGCTTAGAGTCTCTTAGTTATATTGACTTAAAGATCTCAAGTTTGAATCTGGTGAGCTTAATATCAAAATCCTTGATGTCTCTCGAATTCGAGCCTTAGGATGGGCATTGAGTACAGGGGAGCAAAGCTCCGACTCTCAATTATCCAAAAATAAATAAATATTGGCTTAGAATTTAATGTATTTTGACCGTACTAAAGAAAGTTGGAGCAACAGGTATATAATTTAACATGTTAAAGAATTCTTTTTTCCTAGATTTTAATTCATTGGTAATACATAATTTTGGTTTTTGTAATTTATAATTCATTTCATTCAATTCTTGTACTTTTAAATGTCTAAATTTAATCATTGTCGATAAATCTTAAAAATAATTTTAAGAGTATTGATGTAATTAATATGTTTTCTAAATTTTTAAAGATAAAATGAGGATGGTTAATTTTTTATTTTTTTAAAGGTAACCGAACTGATGGTAAGGATTATTTTATAGATTTATTGAAAGTTCCAACTATCAAATTTTAGACATTTAAAAGGGCATATACTAGAATAAAATAAGTGCGAAAGTATAAGGTTGAAAATAGTAATTTCAACTTTAATTTATTGATCATGTAATTAAGAGAATGAGCAGTATCTCATCAAATAAATAAATAGCATGCAGCTACCGAAAAAACTATATTGTTTGATTATTGCTAAGTATATGAAATGCTAATTATTTATAATTTGCAGCCACCCACCTCCAACTCAAATGGAATGTTATTTGCTAATAGTGACGCAGCAAGTTTAACGAAGGGAAAAGAGGAGCAAAGTGATCTGAGGGAAAGGTGAGTAATTGATCTTACTATATTTCACTTTACAAATTATATATATATATATATATATATATATATATAAAGGCTCTGTAAATTTTTCTTCAATTTTACTAACAGGTTGACAGATCCATATGTCCGTCAGTTGGTGAATTATTTGAGTAATGAAAGAGACAAGTGTAGAACTCAGGAAAGTAAAGTAAGCGCATCCATTATTTTATTTGTATTTCAGGAGAAAATTAGTTAACAAAAAAGAAAGAGAAGTTCACAATTATTAATTTAAAAAAAGTTTGGTTCTGAACTGATTCTGATCATATAGTATTAATTTTTGTCCAAAAAGGTTGTGCTTCTTGAAAAGCAGCTCTGCGAGGCAACCCAGATGCTGGAAGAGAAGGAGAAAGAGCGTATGGTTCTGATTGAATTTAGTTCAGCAGAAATTATAAAAAAAGAAAAGGAGATTGAGAATTTGAAAAAGAGATTATCGGTCAGTGAATTCCGATGTAGTTGGTTCCCTAAAGTAAAGAAATTTTTAGGATCCGTTTTATAACATTTTCGTTTCTTGGTTTTTGTCATGGTGCAGGATTCTTCCAACTCTAATAGCGAGCTGTGTCTAAGAATAAACCAACTAGAAACATTGATACGTAAACTTTCGAGCTCCAACAATCAACCTGATACCACGAAAGAAAATATGATCACCAGCCAGGCAAACCCTTGAAACCCTCTTTTTTTTTTCTTTACTTCTTTTTTTTTTTTTTTGATTTCGCCTTTTATAGGTTCACACAGTTAGGAATTAATTACAACCAGCTCCAGTCCAGTGTCTTTTAAGGTTTATTTTATTTTATTTTATTAACTTTTAAGAAAATATGTTACGTTGTAGAATGTAGATGAGAGATGAGGGAGAGAACAATTATATATATTCTCCATCTTTAAATTTTTTACTTGCTGTTCTTGTAATTCAAAATTTTCTAGGGCACAACACAGCTAACTTTATTGGATCTCTTTGTAAATGTTCTAAAATGATGCAATTTTTTTTTCCAAGTACGTACAACAAGGACGATTGTATAATCAAACTCATGACTTTTTGGTTAGAGACATGTGTCAATTACGATTGAGCTGAAAAACATGTTGGCTAAAATCGATGTAGTGTTTATCTATTCTAGTAGTTATTTTTGTGCTGCGTTCTTAGCTCTTCTCAAACTCAATCAAGTCATTTTTAGAACACACCAGTCCTAGTATCATTTATGCCTGCAGATTACAAAATCCAAATTATCATAATCAAATAATCATTTTCTTCAAGATCATAGTTTAGATGGCTTGGGTTCAAGCCGCATGGATCACAAATAATTGAATGGTTTAATTCATTAGGACTAGTTAATAATATTGACTTTATACATTTACAAAATTTTGTTTAAATTTTTGATAGTAAACTAAATAAAATGCAAACCAATATATATAAGCTCTATAATATAATAAAAATATGGATGAAAATTTAATTTAGAAAAAGAAAACTTAAAGAGAACCAAAAAAAAAGTAACTAGGATCTTATTGAATACTCTTGCTAATTAATAATTAAAAAAACATCACAATAACTTGTATATACAAATATATACCTATTTACCATTAAAAAGGATAAAATCTTAAATTTCAACTTAAATTAGATAGAATATAAAACAAACGTAATTCAAAAGCGTAATATAACAATAATCAGATAGCTTGGGTGGTTTGGGTTTAAGCCATATGGGACTTTCATCAAGCGATGACTTCTTGCATATATATGGATATGAGAACAATGAGCGTACCTCGACTCTTGGGTAATAAAAAAAATATAACAATAATCACGTTGAACAACTTCATTTTTTATAATCTTAATAATATCATAATTTTTTGTTTCTCATATTTTATTTTTAATAAAAAAAATGTGTTAAATAATTGTTTAAGCTCCTTGGTTTATTTCTATAGAAAATGAAAATATATGTTTTAAAATTATTAATCTCAAATGTTTTTATTTGCATTTTCTAAAATAAAAAACAAATGTTTCTAAATTTTTTCTACAATTTCGAAAACCTCTTAAAAATAAGAGTTAAGAAACAAAGCAGAAGTTATCAAACGTATAAATTTTAAAAATTTAAAAACCCAGAATAGGAAATTACGCAAAAACAAATCACACAAACATGAATTCTATAAACAAAAGGAAAAAACAAAAAACAAAATAAAATAATCATGTGAAATAGACCTTAATTTAATTGAACTCAAAAGAGTCCTCCAATCTTCTATTTCCACGTGTTATTGGAAAAAAATAAATCACATAAACACAAAAAAAAAATGAAAAAAGAATTACATAAATTGAATAATCCGAAAGAAGGAAAATTTAATTTAATTTAATTTAATGGCTGCCTGGGGAAATAAAGAATCTTTTAAGGCTTCTGTACCTACGATCTCCTCCTGGCCATTGACGCAGTATTTCCATCAAACAGATCATCGATCAAACCCTCGATATCTTCAGGCTGATACTTTATGTACTTCTCCGATTGCCTTCCCGGATCGAAGTGCTGCTTGAACCTCCCCACGAACGAACGGTACGCCGGAATCATCACCGCCGACACCGAAATCCGGAGCTCCGACTGAAGCTGGTCGTCGCTCACCACCCAACTGCTCTGCGTCTTGTGTATTTCGTCGAACATCGCGTTGAAGCTCTTGAATCTCTCCTTCAAGATCGGCTTCGACACCTTCCCGTTCACCTGCAATCCCTCGTGGTTCAGGCACTGCAGCACCTTACTCCACGTTTCCCTCTGGTAGTTCTTGTGGTACTGCCGGAGATTCGTCGACCGCTTCCGGCACCACCGCTCCCCCATCAACTCCGTGATTCCGTTCGATCCTTTGATTTTCTGCACGATGTACCTCCCGTTGTTCATCAGGAAGATGTACCTCAGCGAAGGGTCGCGGTACAGCTTCGATCGCATCGCCAGATTCGCGTCCAGCAGATCCATCACCTTCGCGATCTGAATCGCCAGCTGTGACTTTCTCGGCGACGCTTCGTCGTTCTCCTCCATTCTCGCCGCCGCCCGATTCTCTTCCATTTTCGGATCCAGAAATTGAAACACCTGTTCTAGGGTTTCTTTGTATTCGCAAGCGTATTTTAGGTAATTCATGATGTAACGCGTCAATGGATGGACTGCGCCTCCCGGAACTGGAATTTTCGCGTTGTCGCTTTTGATCGAACTCTCTAGGTCGTAGAAAATCCCGATTACGGCTTCCCCTATCCCGCTCTTCGCCCCGTCCGCTTCCGATATTAGCTCTGTCTTGCAATTTTCAGGGAAGCCATTGATGGCTGGAATCAAATCACGGAGCGTTTCGTACATATCGAGTAGCTTGAAGAGCTTCTCCGCGGATCGCTTCGTCAAGACCACGGCGTTTGCGAAGTTGAGAAGCTTGATCACCACGGCTCTCGTTAGGTTGCTGAAGAGCGTATGAGATATGAAGGAATGGTCAGAGAAAACAGAGTCGCAGAGCTTCCACTCGCCCGGAAACAGAGATTTGGAGCATTTCTTCACGACGGCGATCCATTTATCTATCTCCGATTGGAGAGTCTCCCATGGCATTTTCTGTATGTCGTCTATGCTTATACTTTCGTAGCCGAGCTTGTTGAGCATTCCTTTGAAGGAGCTGTGGCGGAGAAAGCTGTAAGTCATACAGCATTCCTTCTCGTAGCCGGCGGAGATCATGGCTCCGGCGATTATGCTCATGTTGGATACGGTTTCAGGTGAGAACGAGGGGAATTCCTCGTCGTCGGACTCGGAGGAGTCGGGAAGAGCGGTCTGATCCGGCGATTCGTTGATGGTTTTGAACGACGATTGCTTAGCGGCCTTCCGATCAGATTTGGAATCCACCTCGCGATGTTTGCATTCCTTGAGAAGGGCGTTGAATTCCTCGTCCAGCAGCGCCATGGCTCGCTGCAAAGCCGTGGTGGTCCGATTGAGCGAAGAAATCAAGGCAGAGTTTGGAGGGAATTCCCCTAATTTAATGGCGATCTTGGCAATGCGATCCAGAGCTTGGAAGAAGGAAGAATCCCGATCCTGATCTCTGCCGAGCCTGGTGAGATATTTGCCGGCGTTGTACCTGGAGACGGTGGAATCCACCATTTTGGACAAGGAATGAACAGCGCCGGGAACCTCGGGGATGAGATTGGATCCGTCGTCTCCGGCATTGTACAGAGCCTGGAGGAATTGATCAACCTCTTCGAAAAGCGCGGCAATGTCAGATTCGGAGAGAGGATCCTCGATGTAGGCATCGTCGTCGGCAAGCTTTTCAGATTCGGATTTGGCAGAATCCTCGGGATTCCGGCGAGGTGAGCCCAGATTGGCAATTCTTCTGTTGAAATTTTTTGAAAAACTCTCTGATTTCTCTGGGGGTGGGTGTTTCTCCATGAATTTGTTTGTGGGTGTGGGGGAAATTGAGAGAAGAGAGGGGATTAGATTAGAAGAAGAAGAGGAATCAATGAGTTTGTGAGTAATGGAGAAGAATGAGGATTAATGGAGGAGAAGAAAAAGTGGGGATTAATGGCAGAAACAGAAGGATTAAAGAGGGTATTCTAATCTAATTGCTATTGCTATTGGCCTCTAATTTTCAGTTGGTTCGTTAACCGTTGACCCTTTTTCTAAAGCCTTTGTGACCCTCACGTATTTTTTCTGTTCTGTTCTCACATTTTCTCTCACTATAATATCCATTTTCTCTTTCTTATCTCACTCACCCATTCATCTTCTTTTTTCTTGTTAATAATTGGGAATGGGAACATCCAATCATTCTTTGTTTTTCTTTTTTTGTTGACGGAACTTCAAAAGGTTTTTAATTCTTTTTAACTTTTAAAACTCATAACTTTTATGTGCTGTTTGTTTTTCAGGAACTATGTCCGACATCTAGGAATTTTAGATGATCGATATCTTTAGATAATCATAAGAAAATTTATAAGGATATCTGTGACTATTTGAATAATCATGTTTGTTTTGTGGGATTTATTCTTGAAAATGTGTTAGATTCGTAAATGTTACAAAAATATCTTTACGAATATTTATAAAATTTATAAACTCATTCAATATAATAGATTTATTTGAATTAATTTACCATTTTTATTTTTTTATATATTATTTCTTAGAACAAATTAATTCATATTAACTTAATATAAATTTCATTTCAAACTTTAATAGTTTTCCAAAACGACAATCATATAATTAGGGAAATTGCAGTGAGTAACAAAAATCTTTTATGTATTTCAAAATATGTTGCCTGTTTTTTAATTTTTCAAATATAGCAAAAATTTTCACTTATATCAATAGTATATCATATACTCGTATTAATAATATATTAGATGTATATCACATAAATATTGCACACACTCATGTTAGTAGTTCATCAGATCAGATGTATATCACATACATATTGCAAGTATATCAAATACTCATATTAGTAGTATATCAGATATGTATCACATACATATATCAGTAGTTCAGATATATATTTTTTTTAAACAAATAGTTCATATATATTACAGATTATTACAAATATATTACCTAGAATTGTCATTTTAAAATTGGATCTCCATTTTTTTCAAAATACTATATTTGAAAAAATTAAATATAGTTGCTATTTTACTAATTTTACTAAATATTTTTGCCATATTTACGATTGTCCCTATAATTTATGTAATATTGAGTAAAATTTATTTATCTTATTATCACATTATATATATTTTTTAATTATCACAGGTATATTAATTGCAAAAAAAATGTTGCTTTAAAATTATATATTTATGATAATAAATATTATTAATAATGTAATTCCTTCAAAATATTAAAAATAAACGAAGATAAGATAATTTAATTACAATCTATTTTACATTTAAATCTAATGTACAAATATACTAATTAATAACATAAAGTTATTTATAAGATGATGAGTACATTAATTTATTTAATTATAAATTAAAAAATAAAGAATAAAGATTTTTTTTTATAACAAATTAAAAAAACTGATGAAAGAAAATATATGGAGAAAAAAATGAAGAGCAAAAATGTAAAAAGTGGATGTTCTCAACATAATCTCGGAAACCTGTACTTCAAAAGTGCATCTAAAACTCATAAGATGTCTCCCGTATAGGCATCTTAGGATACCCAAACATCTCAAAATTCTCGAGTATCCTACATTCGCACAAAACAAATTAAATATGGGAACCAGATGCCCGTCCAACGGAAATCTCGGATTCCCACGAAACAAACGACCTCTTATGGGTATGTCTAATAGATCTTTAGGTCATCTTTACTTCAACCGAATGAGAATTAAGGAATGAGAAAATTTTCAATTTACTTTGATGATATTTACTAGATAGCCGGAATGTAATTGATTGGTGGATCCATCCAAATTTTTTTTGTGATACGTCATTCATCCCTTACAACCTCATCATTCTGGGTACTTATTCCATGTGCTCCATATCTTTAATAATTTTTTACAACTTTTACTATTTCTAGCTATCACATCTATTGATGAGATCCATTCAAAATCACAATCTTTTCCTCTTAACTAGTTTGAACTATGTTGAGTTGCCTTTTAGTTTGTTATTATGAATTAATATCAACAAAATTTTTAAAATGATATTGATTATTATTAAATATTAGAACTATACAATCTAATAATATTTTATATTAAATGATGATGATTCTAAATAAAAGATTATTTTAGTTGATGTAATTTTATTTTATTTATTTATTATTTGTTAATATTAAATAAATTGTTATAATAAAAAATACTACTAGTAGTAAAAATAAAAATAATTTTATTATTATTTTAATTAGAAAAAGATTAGCACAATATTTGTGATATGTAGAAGTAAGAAAAAGTTATACGAACTAATTGTTATATATCTCATTCATATTTCAATTCCAATTCGAGACTATTTTAGTAAATAACATGACAGAAATATCGATTGATTTCATTCTGATTCCTTGTAAGTAAATGAGGCTTTAGATTTTAAAAAGTCTAGGAGTTTTTTACTTTAATTTTGGTTGGATAGACCCCAAATTTATTTGATATTTGTAAAAATTCATAGACTTATCGAGCACGAGATTGAATTTTGTGTTTGATATAGAATTTTGACCTTTCAATTTTGTGAACTAAAAGCAAAATCCCATAAGTCAGTGACCTATTAGAAACTTAAAAGTTCGGCCAAGATACTTGAAAGTTTAAGAGCTTATTAGACATAAAATTGAAATTTTAGATCCCTACCCGACACTTTTTGACAAAATAACTAGCTTAGGTCTTTGTTCTCCCATCAATTGTCTTTAACATTTGATGAATAGGAGCGGATATTAGAAACCATATTGGTATAGCATTGAATCAAATTCTTCTAGTTGTTTTTCTTACCTATGGCACAAAAAATATATCATGCATGTTAGACATATATACCATGAAGATGATACTTTTTGATAAACATGATAGATCATTATCCTTCAAATATTTTGGAAATAATATCTTTTTCGATTTTTAAATACCACATATGGGGTGATGAATTAGAACTCACGACCTTCTGATTGGACATAAATGTCTTAACCCGTTGAGCTATTTTTACGACCTTCTCAGTCGAGTCAGACGACCAAGAAGGGATGTACAAGAATTCTTGGTCAAGTGGACAGGGCTTTCAGATGAAGAAATCAATTTGGAGCGCGCAGAAGATTTGAAATCAGCATCAACCGAGATCGCAGAGTTCGAGCAACATCGGTTGACAGGGATGTCAACCATTTAAGTGGGGGAGGATGTCATGGTCATGCTCGTCCAAAGCATGTCACCCATGACCACATGCCCATAATGTATTTACTTTTGCATGTTATTTACTTTTCATTGTACTTTTGGTAGCCAGTGATTCATCGCCACTTTGCAAGGCAAAATGCTTTATAATGTACTATAGGGGTACACCTAGTCTCCTTCCTACATCGAGTTGTATTCTTGTCTTGCCGCCAATCTATTCTCTTGCATTCAAGCATACAACAAGCTTTCCAAAATGTCTTCAAACGTTTTCCAAACCCTTTTTCTCTAATCCCGTTTTCCAAAACCGTTTTCCCGAGAACGGGGGTGGAGGTTGCGATATATAGCCATGGTGTCGCCGGCTATCCGATTCTCGTTGGCTGACTTGCTTGTGTGCAGGAGCAAGTGCGCACAATCACTTTGGGAGTCCTTTGAAAAGTTCGATTGTGACACCTGACGTGCCGCATCTGACTGGCGCGCGTCTGTCGTTAAAACCATTCAATGTGCTGTCTTCCTGCGTCCGACCTATACTTCGTCTGCATGCATTGTCATCCAGATGTGCGTGCCTGTTGCATTGTGTAACTTGATTCCAGATGTCAATTTCATCACATCTTAATCCAGAATTGTTTGTGTGTCTATGGCTTAGACCCAATCAGCCAAGCCACCTTATCCTCGTTTTAACCCTCATAACACTATGCCACATCATTAGAAGGTCGTCTCTCTAAACAATCTCCGTCTTTGTTAGACCAACTTGACTTAGAATAAATTATAACAATATTTATAAAAATAGTTTAGAAATTCTTATATTTTAATAATTAGTTATATTTTTTTTATGTTGTGAGCATAACCCAACAAGCATAGGTTTAAGAAATAAATATACTTTCTGTTGCGTTTGTAAGGTGATTGCAAACAAAGTTCCAAGGAAGGGAATGATCGTGAATATATAAGAGAAGACAATTATCGTATGAGGCCTTTTGAGTGAAAACAAAAGCAAAGCCCGAAGGGTTATGCCCAAAGCAGACAATATCATACCATTATAGAGATACTCATGGTAGCAAGTGTTTGTTGTGTGACTTTTCCTTTTTTTTATTCCATAGAATGTTACATTAAAATTATTTTCTCTTTTCAACAAATTTAAATAAATTTTACTTTGGAACTCAAATAAATATTACCTATTAAATTTTATCTTCTAAAATAAAATAACTACTAGTTCTTAAAAAAAATAAAATAATTACTATTAAAAGAACATATTATTAAGAAAAATATAATTATGTGTTTTTACTAAATGCTATAATTACTCCATTAATATAATTAATTTCATTTACTTTTAATGGTAAAATAAAATCTATATTTTATTCTAAAATATTTTTTAAACAATATATTTTTAATAGTAATTATTTTTTTTAGAATTCGCACTTGTTTCTTTTCTTTTTTTCTTTTCTTTCGTAGCAATTGTTTCAATAATATATTTTTTTTGTAGTAATTATTTTATATTTTATAATTAGTAGTTGTTTTATTCTGAAAAATAAAATTTTAATAAGTAACATTTATTTAAATTTGTTTAAAAGATAAATAATTGCAATATAATTTTGTTTAGTACCAATAGGTGCTAATCACCGTTGAACTATGTTCATTTAGACAAAAATAAAGTCTATCATTTTTTTTGGAATTAGTAGTTATTTTATTTTAGAATAGAATATAAATTTTAATAGATAACATTTATTTAAATTTGTTTGAGAAAATAATTTCAATATAACATTTTATTGAATAAAGAAGAAAAAAATATAGATTTGAACCGATAATTTTTATGGCAGATAACCACTTTATTAAAAAGTGGTATTAGAATGGTGGGTTAGGAAAAGATGTTACGTCAGAATTAAGAATTAAAAACTAAAAACAAAAAACAATAAGAAATTTTGCAACTTGGAATTATAATTTTTCAAGCATCATTCTTAGATATAGTTTGGAGATGGATATAAATTTGGCACAGGTTAGAAAGAAAGCATTATTTAAAATTAAAAAAAAAAAAAACATCCGACACGTAAATGGAAGATAGTCTACACGTCTATGAAAATTGAACACAGTGGCGAAAACCAATTTAGAGAGCTCAGCGAATTCCATCGCTGTGGGGAAAAGGAAGCTTTGCAGAAAGCAGATTGAGGGAAGCTATGGAGTCGAAGAGCAATCCCAACTCTCTCACAATACTTCACAACGCCATGATCATCACCATGGATCCTGAAAACCGTGTCTTCCGGAACGGCGGAATCGTAATCGCCGGCGACAAAATCGAGGCCATCGGCCACTCTTCCGAACTTCTCCGCCAATTTTCTGCCTCTGCCGATCACATTGTCGACCTTCATTCTCAAATCTTGCTCCCTGGTATCTCTCTCTTTCGATGAATTCCTTCAAATTTCAGTAGAGATTAGAATTGGTGTCTGAGATGTGAATTTGCCCTTGAAAACAGGGTTTATTAACACGCATGTCCACACTTCTCAGCAGCTTGCTCGGAGCATAGCCGATGATGTGGATTTAATGACTTGGTTGCACCATCGCATTTGGCCCTACGAATCAAGCATGACTGAGGAAGATTCCTACATTTCCACTTTGCTCTGTGGTTTAGAACTCATCCACTCGGGTGTGAGTATCTTCATATTTGATAAGAGTTAATTGGGAAATTGTAATGGGTGAAAAAACTCAACTAATTACCATATTTCTAAATTTGTTACATGCAGAAGTAATTTGCAAATATGAGACTTTTTCTCTCGAAGATCACATATACTTATATGCTATTTATGTAATGAATTATATCACTGATATGTCACAGATGTACCACTTTTGTATCATTGATAAAGTGAAGAGTCTAGTTAAATAGTCTGATATACATTTGTTTAATTTCTGCAAAACATTTTATCATATAACAAATCTGCTATTATTTAGGCCAAATCTATTATGATACCGAAAGTTCCTATTTTGCTCCCTACGGTTTTAGGTTTTTTCCATTTTGATCCTTAAACTTTTTAAAATTTCTATTTTAGTAACTTTGAAATAATAACTATTTTGGTCCTTACTGTTATTTTTGCTACTTTCACTCACAAAATACGTGTCCATGTTAACATTTTAATACTCCAAGACAGGTTATCCATTTGTTAAAAGCAGAGTAATGTAAGGGCGGACTAAAATGGTTATTTTCTTAAAGATTGAGGACTAAAATAGACATTTCGAAAATTCAGAACAAAAATGGAATGAACTTGAAAATAATTGTGAGATTTTAGACACCAAAAGTAAGTTTATGGACAAAAAATGAGATTTAAACCAAAGTTCATATATATTTAGGTAACATGCTTCGCTGAGGCAGGGGGGCAACATGTATCTGGAATGGCCAAGGCAGTAGAGTTGCTGGGTTTGCGGGCGTGCTTAACTCAGTCGATAATGGACTGTGGGGAAGGATTGCCGCATACTTGGGCTGCTACAACCACTGATGATTGCATTCAGGTTTATCAAGTTGAATTTATGTTTCAATAATTGTTTCTATCTTTTTCTCCTTTTTATCAACAGTAGATATTTTTACCCCAGACTAACTGCTAAAACAAAATGGTTGAATAATTTTTGTTTTTGGCTTTCAACTTTCAAGAAAGTGCTTTCTTTAATATCATCCTTCTAAGTAGGTCAGTTAACTTTTATTCCATCATTATTAGCAAAACCATCTTAAACAATTTCTTAATCTTCTTCTTTTTCAAGGGCAGTCTCAGAAGGAGCTTTACAAGAAGCACCACAACACAGCAGATGGGCGCATCAGAGTATGGTTTGGTATCAGACAAATTATGAATGCTACAGAACGTTTATTGATTGAAACAAGGGATAATGCAATAGAACTGAAAACGGGGATCCACATGGTGCTTCTGTCTTCTTTGCTTATGTTTTTGCAGTCTCAAAATAGTTTCAAATTTTATTAAGTTCCAAATATGTTTAGTTTTATGCCCTATGTCTGGTATAAAGATGCCAGTCAGTTGTTGAATTTGATTTCATTTGTTATGCTCGTTTTAGCATGTTGCAGAGATACCCTATGAGAATCTGAAGGTGATGAGTGATCGAAAAGTTGATCATGGAACGGTTACTTACTTGGAGAAAATACAGTTCCTGCAAAACAATTTGCTGTCTGCTCATACTGTTTGGGTTGATGACAATGAGGTGAGTAGATACTGTTGTTTCTATGGTATGTTCTCCAAGTCCACGGATATTCTGCATTGTTTCTAATTTCTCTCTGTTCTTTTTTTCATTGTCTACATAAATGTTGATCTGAAGTCAGCTTTGTGAATAAGCTAAGTGGAAGAAAAAAGGTTGGAGGTTTATGTATTGTTTGTTAGATCTTACAATTAGGTACACTGTTCTAGTATGGCATGTTCAAGACTATTTGAACTCTTCTGTAATTTTTGGAAAAGAAACAAGGATTTAATAACTTTTCAGTGAAACTAAACCAACCCTACTTAGATAGATAAGTTGTAAACCTACTCTCATGTGCAATAAAGTTTTTTGTTGCCTGATCTTCTGACTAGACTTATAAAGTGCATGTCAATATGGTCGAGGTGGCAACGTTAAAGGAGCATGTGCGGATTTATCTTAGTTGCAAAGACAAATAGGTGTTAGACATCAATGTGGTGTATATCAAACACCCTCCAAAGCTTAAGTTACTACAAGTATTGAGTTCAAAGAGAACATACCTTGACCTTCTCCATCCTCATATATATAAGATAGAAACAACAATATGATTACCTCTAGTTTTAGGTTGTTACTTAGGGTCAAACATGCACATCAAACCACTCTAGATAGACGCGATTTGCTGAAGTTTTAAGTTGGCAAGGTGGTTATCAGTCACACCTTCAATTATGCTTGCTAGGGCATTACATGCAACTTGGCCGACTTTTAACAGCTGTGGTGCCATTCCACAACTACAACCATGAAGGATGTGATTAGGTGCATGTTTACTTCCCAAGGATTGTATGATGTCTGAGTGCACCTCCTCAAGCATTGTGCCCTGTCAAGACTTCTGGGCCTATTTCGAGTGCCTAGGCTAGTTACCTTGGGAGAAGCTACTTAGTCTTATCTTGGTCAGGCTCTAAGCACTCAGTCTCACCTTGGTCAGTTTTAGGCACCCATTCTCACTTGGGTCCAGTTACCAGGCATCTGGGCTAGGCAACTTCTTGGTCTCACCTAAGTTGGGCTGTGACTTGATTGGGCTTAGTGGTTTTCTTCTCACTTAGTCGAGTTATGACCCACCTAGGCTAGGTGGATTTCGGACTCACCTTGCCAAGTTGCATCATCTAAGTTGGGACTTTCTCACTTTGTAGGCTACGATTAGGTGGCTTCTTGATCTTTCCTAGGTTGGGGAACAACTAGGTGGCTTTTTCTTGTCCCATCTGAGGCTGAGCTACTAGGTACTTGGGCTCACTGAAAACTTCATGCGAGTGACTTCACAACTGATTAGCTGGTATTTGCTTAGATGCAAGCTACTTGGGCGGTTGAGGTGGCTATCCAAGTGACTTATTTTTATTTAATAAAAATCTCACCTGTAAATAAGTTTATCATCAGCCTGAAGCTTAAGATGTTAATAGATTCTCTTGGACGGGCCATATATGTTCTTTTATCCTCATAAGAGAGATTCATACTATGTCAGACAATTTCCAGAGACACGTACATGGTCTTAAGTACATACAAATGTTTTCCCACAGGTATGTTTTATTCTTAATTTCTTATATAGGTCAAACCATCATCAATTTCTCCTTTATACATTACTTATTTTGCATTTTTCAGCAAATTCAAAATTTTGGGTCTTGTTTCTTGCTATCTGTTCCATTCAAGAATGAGCTTTTGGATTGATGAATACTTCTGTTAGCATGTTTTTCATAATTACCCTTTATAATACAAGTATTATTGATATTTTGTTAGATTAGTTTTCTTTCAAGGAATGGGGTCAAAGTATCCCACTGTCCAGCTTCTGCAATGAGAATGCTTGGATTTGCACCTATCAGAGAGATGCTCGATGCTGGTATTTGTGTTTCCATTGGAACAGATGGAGCACCGTCAAATAATAGAATGAGCATAGGTTTGTTCAGTCTGGAATTTTACAAATTGTACTTCATTTCATGTCATGTCACATTAGGTGGCCATTTTTCTGAGAATTAACTCTTCCTCTAGAAAAGGTATTCACTTTTAGGAATTATTTTGGACATTTTTTCATTCATCCCCATCCAGTGGAGCTTTTTACATTTGGCTGACGTATGAAACTTTACTAAGTATATATTTGGGTCCAGTGGCGTTAATGTTTCAGAACATAGTAATCTCAAATTTATACATTCCTCTTCATGAAGAATTCTTTCACACGGCAAAATTCTTATTAGAATAATGGTAGTCGATGACATAAATGTCTAAAATATCTTGCAGTTGATGAGATGTATCTCGCATCTCTAATTAACAAAGGCCGGGAAGTGTATGCAAATGGAACAACCAATCCCTCTGCTCTTCCTGCTGAAGTAGTTCTGAGAATGGTGACAATAAATGGTGCAAAATCTGTACTCTGGGAGAATGAAATAGGATCACTCGAAGTTGGGAAGAAGGTTTGAATTTTGTAGCATTTTATTTACTGGCCTTCTTTCAATCCTCATCTGTTTTTTATTTCTTTTGTTCTGTGTTATTTAGGGTGTCTTTGAGAGTAAGGGTAGAATGAGTGATTTTGAAAAAATAGATTTAAGTGTAATTGATTTTTCAAAATCATGATACCTTAAAAACCAAGTAATATCTTAAAAATCAATTTAAAGTGATTTTAAACTTGTTTTTTATATTTCTTAATACTATATTTGTCAATTTATAAAAAAAAATTAATTATGTTTAACTGTTATGAATTGTAAATTAAATTATTATTATTTTTTACTTAATTTGTGTAAGTAGAGATGATAGAATATAATCCTTCATTTAGAAGGAAGAATATAGCAGATTAGGATGATGCGGAGAGGAAGGATTCCTTGAGACCTTGTATAAACTCATTTGAATGTTCATAACCTATGTACTTTGAAGCATACCTCTTGGAAAATGATGGTATCTGAAAACAGTTTTATATTCGTTGTAGTTCATTTGATAAACAAAACCTTAGGCTTTTATAGTGGTTCAGCTATTGCTGCCTGATTTTTTATTGTGCTAACTTCATGGTAGGCGGATATGGTTGTGATCAATCCTTCCTCATGGTCTATGGTCCCTGCCCATGACAGGTACTAATTTCCATCCTCGAACCCTGAGATATTTTCGTTCTGGAAATTTTAAAAAGTTGAATGCTGTTGTAAGATATGATATATTGTTTTGCCAAACCGAATATAGCTTAAATGGTTAAGGCACTTATGACCAAAAGGTCATGAGTTCAAACCCCCACCCCAACATGTTGTATTAAAAAAAAAATGATACATTTTGTGGTCGAGAGTGCCTATTCTCGCTCTTGCCCGAGCACGAGAACTGGAAATGAACTGATGGCATTGCTTAATTGATATTGCAGTATTTCCTGCCTTGTCTACAGCATGAGGACTGAAAATGTGGTCTCTGTAATGTGCAATGGCCGGTGGATAATGAAAGATAAGAAGATTTTGAATGTGAATGAGGTACGATTAGTTATTTAACATATGAATAGCTTGTTTAGCTGAGGCTAGTATTGAAAAAGGTAGATATTGATGACAAAATTAGAACCATGACTAAAATGAAATAGACATTTTGAAAGTTGAGCGACTAAAATGGAAAAAACGGAAGTTTAGAAACCAAAATAGGATTTAAATCTAAGAGTTATTAACATACAAGAGTGAATCGTCTTGCTTAAAAGAGAGCAAAAATAGCTATGAATTTAGTTTCATGTACAGAATCTTATGCGAAATGTGACATGTTAGTCTCAAGATTTAACATGTCTAAATTCAAATGTGGAGTGGACAGGAAGATGTAATTTTGATGGCAAAGAAAGCTTCCAAGGAACTGCTTGAGAGAGCAGGAATCAGAATTCCAAACAGGATGAACTTCATGTAATTGTCATGCAGCTTCTCTTCAGTTTGTTGTTTTCAGCTTTCATCAAGTGTATCACTCATTCACCCAACCTGTTATGTTTTTACTTGATGGTTAATGTTTTTTTTTCCTTTTAATTTAGTTTAAAAAAGTTTGAATTAAATCTTCTAGGTCCGTTTGGTTGGCAATTCAGATTCTGTTTCTTATTTTCATAATCATTGATTCAACTTAAAACATTTAAAATATAATATATTATAAATTATATAACATTTCGAACTAATAATTATACCAAATTCATAATAGAAATGTTAATAAACTAATTGATATCATTTCAGATTAAACTAAATATTTTATTGGTAACTACTATTACTTTACAAATATATTTCTAAAAAAATGTTAGACCAATTTTTTAATTTATATTCTATTTTCAAATCTATTGGATTTATGTTTTCTCATCACCAACCAATTGTACCTTTAATGTTTTAATACCTTTTCAATTATTTTCTCATTATTGGTCTTGATAAAAACTTTTAATACCTTTTCAATTATTTTCTCATTATTGGTCTTGATAAAAACTAACAAAAATGACCCTGGTCAACCGTGACCCTGCGGAGTTTGGTGTCGACAAGTGTACCAGACCTTCCTAGAGAGAGTAAATAGCTCCAGCCCAAGTTAGTACAAGTCCTCAAAGAGAGTATAATTTCACATACTTAGAAGATAACGTAGAACTCTATATTTATAGAAGGTGAGCTTTTGACAAGGGTTGAGGGACGGTTATGACGGTGTCGCAGATTACGGCGTCTTGTTGGAGAAGCGGTAGTCTTTAAGAAGTTTTGCAATTTGCTTTACCTATAATTTCACATACTTAGAAGATGCCGCAGAACTCTATATTTATAGAAGTTGAGCTTTCGACAAGGGTTGAGGTACAGTTACGACGGTGTCGCAGATTACGGCGTCTTGTTGGAGAAGCGGTGGTCTTTAAGAAGTTTTGCAGTTTGCTTTACCTTTAAGAAGTGGGGCTTCTAACTGAACCATTAAGATGGTTTGGAGTCTATTGAAGTATAAAATAATGACACATGACCGATGAGAAATTACCTCTAATATATAGTGAGTGAGTTAGTAGAAATTTAGAAGAGAAATTAGGTCATCTATGAGAGAGGAGAAATTAGGTCATCTATGAGACGAAAATTTATAATCCCGTAGATTTTTTAATTTATAATTCCTCCCATTTTTTAAGTGGGTTGAAATTTTAATTTTTCTTCCTTAATTAACCTAATTTCTCAATTTCTTGTGAAACCAAGATCAGTTGGATTTTTTTAAAAATCTTAACCAAGGTTTTAAACGTCGATATCGCCACTTGTTGAGGACAACGTTACTTCGAGTACCTAAGTATCTCAACAATAGTATGATATTGTTTTATCGGTAAGAATGTCGTTGAAGTAAACACGTCATTCTATGCAAAATTATTACTAATCAAATCTAGCTATCAATAGATATGCTTATAAATAATTCCCGTAAGACAAACATAGTTATCTAAAATCGGACGTCTATATTCTCAGCTATCTAGAACTTTAGGTACCCAAACATGCTAAATATTTAGATTTCCTAAAAATAAATCATCCTAAAAGCAAATTTATGGTTACTTCAAATTAATTTGACACTCTCATCATCCACCGGACTTATTTTGAAAAACAGTGATTCAATATTCAAATCTACTATTAAAAACAGATTCGAAAATCGTATTTCACTCCATCATTTGTTTTTAAATCACCAACCCAGATGAACCTAAGAGTTTAAAATTTTCTTCTAAATTTTTTAGAAATGAAATATTATATTAAGTGATCTTTAATAGGAAGAAAATGGGAGGTCTTTGTAGTGTGTGGGGAATAAGAAAAAAGTGATCTGTCAAAAAAAATGGGGGTGGAGTAATTTTTATTCTCTAGAGACCTCTCATTTCTTGGCTATTAAAGATTATTTTTCTTTAATGAAGTTTCTGTCAAAAAAAAAATTACATATATATACTCTTTACGGCAAAATAATCTTTAATGGGTAATAAATGAGTGGTCTCCATACTAAATGAATTGTTTTGGGAATTTAAGATGACGTGGCTGCTTTGGCATTGGATTTTCACTAAAAGAAATTATAAAAAAAAAATTATTGAATTCTACGTTATTATTTGAAGTAAAATATTGAAAGAAATAGATTAATTTTCGGTCAATTAAAAGTTTTTTCTTTCAACTTTTTAGGATTACTTATTAAAAAATATCTAATAAGTCCTTAGACTTTAATAGGATCTTGAATTTTTAATTTTCGTAGGTAACAAGTTCTTGAGTTTTCAACTATTGTTCTTTGGAAATAAAAGAAATCACAAAAAAATGAATTTAAGTTCTCCAAAATAATGTCTAAATAGAATGATTCAAGACAACGATAAAAGATTTTGGAACAAGGAAAAAATATTTTTTAATTATCTCAATAACTGAATTAGAGCGGAATAAAGAATCGAAATAGATTCTAAATGAGACAAACAAATATAAAGAGGATTGGAGACGACAGCTCAATAAATGAAATACATAAGTTAAGGGTTGTTTTCTTTGTGTGAGAGTTATCTAACTTGAGTCATGGGATAAGAACGATATTTTTTATTTAAAAAAATAGAAAATAACAAGAAAAAATTATTTAAATCATAGTCTAATTGATCTAATCATTTATGGATATCTATTTGACATCAATTAATTTTAATTTTGTATCTAATAAGTCTTTATCTTATTAGAATTTTTTTAAAGAAATTGATAGACTTACTAGACACAAAATTTAAATGTTAATGTCTGTTAGATACAAAATTCTCTATTGTCTACAATAGGTTCATTAATTTTAAAAAAAATGCGATACAGATCAAGGTGTGTTACACATGGAATTAAAAGTTAATTCGTCTATAAGACACTTTTAAATTTCAGAAACCTAAAATTGAAAATTCAAGAACCTATAAAACACAACCTTGAAAATTCAATGACTAAACTTATAATTTAACCGACATGTTCAAGTGGTAACAATTTTCATTCTTTTAGTTTCAAATAAATTATGACATATGCTTAATTAGATAAATGTTACAAATGGGAAGATAACTCAAAATCAATTATAGTATTAACAAAATAACTAAAGCTGTTACTATCTTCCAACTAGATTGTAACAGAAGCAATTCAAGCACTTCCCCAAACATATTTGGAAGATAGAAGACTAAAACAACTTTGTAAAGATGTCAGTCAAAATTTGCAAAGATGTAGAACCGATCTACCTGGACTAATTCGAGGAGACTGCATCTTTAAACCGTAAGAGGAGAATTTGAGATGCGAGGTACGTTCTAATCAATTCTACTTTTTGCTACTCTCAAAATGATAAGAATCACTAGATCGTAAGGAGAAATGTATAGCGTCAAAGGAAGTGAGACAGGAATTATGCAAAAAAAAAAAATAGTAAAAATAACTTACTTGTTTTTTGGGTGAATAATGTTATATAGAATCAAGGTTTTAAACGTCGATATCAATGGAAATATCGAAGTGTCAATTTCATGGAAATATTGATGGAAATGTCGATGGATATTTCTGTAAAAGTTAGAAAAATTAAAAAATCGTAAAAAATATTTAAATTAACCAATAAATATTTTTCTATTTCTCAATTAGTTAAAAATAATTAATATTAATATTATGTATATATTAGTGATATTTTGTTGATATTTTTCATATTTTGTCGATTTTTTGTACTATACTGGAAATGTCGATTTACCCATCATGTCGATGTCGAACCCATGAAAACATTGATATGTCGATGAAAATATCGACGTGTCGACGGATATTTAGAACCATGTATAGAATCGACTCTCCTCTCTCCTCTGTCCCCTTAGTCATGAGGTTAGAAGAAAAAATGGGTTCTTTTAAACAAGCACCACACAATCTTTGAATGTGTCCAGCTATTTCTAGATCATAAATGCCAATTTTGAATTTTGGTTATTAGTTCCTTGCATAACATATAGTATTTACAAAGTTAGATCGATGATTAACTATAATTAGAATCGAATGTCTAGAGAACGTGGTATGAACGTTCATAACCACTTTTGAATAGAATATGTTCCAACACAGAAGATCAATTGTAGTGATTTCTAACCATTTTATCATTGGACGTTAGATTTGACTTAACTAAATTTTGCTCAATTCTAAGCTATCGATTTGCAAGATCTCAATTACGTCGTATGGCATGTGTTGAGGTTCAATCATACGGATGTAGATGCAATAGTGAGTTCTCCGTAATATATAGCATTGTATAGTCTCAATTACACATCTCGTTGTGAATCATTTGTTGGAAGTAGGTGGAATAGAATCTGATTCATTTTGCATTATTGTAATTTGTGCACTTATCAAACCAAATTTACGTATCACATCACAACTTAGCTTGTCAATGAGAAGACGCCAAGGCCTTAGAACTTGGAAAGAGGTCAAATATGGTTTGAAGTATTAAAATGAAATACTCACTTTTAAGTTTTTAATATTATCATAAAACTTAAAATTATCACACGTCACATCACCATCCAACCATTATATTAAAATTATGGCACTTACCCTACAAAAATTCTACATGTGGCCTCTATTCTTTATAAGGATCGATTTGACCGACCTGAAATGGTATTTGCTAATCGAGAGAATCGAGTGAATTGTACAACCCTACATAACATAACCCTCGTATTCTTGGGTTGAATTGGATTTGGTAATCGGGTTATTAAAAGTAGGAACTTTCTTGAATATTTATATATAAAATAATTGGGAGAATTTTCTTGAATATTTGAACACTCCTGATTAATCTGATCAATACTATTTAAAAATGACATAGGATCTAACAACATAAAAAAGATTATTTACAAACCAACATGAACATAAGTCAAGTTGACACATGTCTGTCATGAATTCGAATCTCCCACCACTTGTTGTACTTAAAAGAAAAAGTTTATTTACAGAGAGAAATTCTTAATTTATTCTATATGACTAGGAATGCACCTAACAGTTTGACTTCCCTTGTCCAAAACTTACTGAGAAGTTGGACCTACTAACTTAATTAATTGGAAACTTATAACCAATAACTTTTTATTGTAGTAATTAAAAAAAGACACACTTGACTAAAGAATCAAATAAATTGAATATATTTAGATGACTGGTGTCAGAATATCTAATGCCAATTCAATATCAAATTATCAACTCTTGGTGTATTATTTAAATTATCTAATGCAAATAAAATTTTAATCACAATTTGGTGTTAGGTCTACCATCTCTCTCACATTTTATATCGTAATAAGATGATTTCTACAAGTAATTAATTATTGAATATTTAAGCTCTTTTTTTATGACAATCATATTTAATTTTGAATAAAACGTCATTTTAAGAAACATTGGAGAATAGTGTTTAATGTAAAATATATTTGAAAAAAAGTATTATTTTTTCGCTTCCTCCAAAAGTGCTATTTAAATACTTCTAAAATTTTAAAGGAAACTAAAAGCACTATTTAAATATTCCAAAGGTATAGTACCAATATCATAAAAATTCTACAAGTCATTACTTTTTCTTTTAGCATCCAAACAAGAGCTTAAAAAACTCGGTCGAGAGGAAAACTAAATACAAAATTGTTATCAAAATAGCTCATAGAATTCTCCCGACCTTGCCATCTCCCAATCAACTCAAAACCGTCCTACACTTGTAGTAGAGACAACGTCGAGAACATAACATTCCCCGCTCCCTAATTTCGAGTCGCCGAATGGCATAAACTAAAAAAGATTACCATCTTCATCCACAACCCAAAATCATAACCAAAAAATTTCCCCACTCAGACATTGAAACAACAAAGAATGAACTCTCTCCTGCTTCCCATTGGAAAAAAACCTGATAGTTAGTAAAATCAGTGTTAGTTTACCTTCATAATGGGGTCAAAACAGAGAAGAGAGTAACCACTTGATGGGTTAGTTAACCATAGTTAGTTAGTCTAGTTACCTTAGCATATGCAAAAAAGTCAGTGAAAGAGAGACTGGGTGTGTTATGGAAGGAAGCTAGGCTCAAACCACTGCATAAAAAGGAGATATAGAATTGATGAACTTATTGACATTATTATGATCAATTTATTCTCGAATTTACAAAAAGAACTAATTATTTTACAAATCTATCTTAGTCAGACTCATTTTGGTGTATGGTTAAATCTCAAACCTGACACATTTTTCTTCTTCATCTTCTTCAAGTCAGACACATCGAGCAGGCCGTTCGTTTGTTCGGAGGCGTGCAAAGTCGTCGACCATAAGGCTAAGGGTTACCAGTGCAAAAAGATGCATTTGCTTTTCTTTGCCTAATCAAAACTTCCATTTCATGGTCTTCTTAGTTGCATAATCTAACAGTACAGGCCACTGCCTGAGCCCAAAATTTGAGCCTTGCCTTAACATCTTCCGGATGATCACCTGTAATTTTAGAAGAAATGCCCTTTTGAGATATAAAAAACTTAAGCAAGTTATACGCTAAGGTATACATCTTTTTTCTCGATATGTTCTTAATCTTTGCGAGGTTGTAAATCAGCAGAGACCGACGTTTGAACATCTCTGAACATCTCTTATTCTCAAGCTATGTTAAATCACTACTAAACTCAAAAGTGCTTTGGTTAAAAACTACTTTCTTCTTTGGGAGGCATGCCAAACACACACCAAGTTATAGATTAGAGTATTTTTATTTTTACTTTCAATATAACTTTAACAAACTCACACATAGAACAGTCATCAATAATTGGAAACTCTCTCTGGTAAAAATTGGGACCCTCCTCCAAGAGTTCAAAGTGATAAGCACAGGTTAGAGTGAAGACAAATTCAATACTTTTGCCCTTACTCAATATCAGTACAGAACAAAAAAAACTAAACAGACTCAATTGAACAGATCATGAAGTCCCTTCTCCCTCCTCATGAAGCAGACACATAATTTTAGAAAGGAAGTAAAAAAACAAATTGAAGGTTTCAGGCCAAGATCTCTGAATTCTCAAATTTATTTACTCCATATCAGTCTCTAAGCTCTTAAAAAATCTGTTCTAGTCTCTAAATTCTAATAAACAACACAAGAACTCAAGCATACATTTAGAAACCAGACCACCAAATTTGTTTCCAGCAATTGTCCTGAAATCTAGGGATTACAAATGGAAGTTCAAGCAACTAAGATACAGAATCAGCTCATGCTCAATTCTAAATAAAACTAAGTACTCACCAGGGCTGGAAATCTTCCAATTCGCAATCGGACTCGACACCGAGGAACAAGAGTCCGCCGGCGCCGAGGCCGAGGCCGATGCCGGCGAATTCTCCGGCGACTTCTGGTGGTCGTCCATGTACTTCTGGCTCATGGAATAACAGAGCTCGAGCGCCGGCAGGGTGTTGCAGAGCTCCGGAATTTCGTCGTAGCTGAAACCGAACCCTAGATCCAAACAGCCCTTGAGCTCATCCAGATCCTCATCCGTCAAGCTCTTGGTCCTCATCAAATCGTCCTCATCGGCCGCCTCCACAAACCCCTTCAGCAAAACCTGGTTCCTCCTCTTCATCTTCTTCTCCAAAAGTTCCCTCCCCGCCCCCATTTCGGCCGAGTCCTCGGAATCAGAGCCCTCCTCCTCTTCTCTCGAGCTCTCATCATCTGGGTCTTCATTAATTCCATTCACAGAAGAAACCCAAGATTCAGATTCGCTAAAGAAATTGCTCATCATTTTCATTTTTACCTCCCAAATTTGCTCGGTTTCTCTCTATAAAACGTGTCCGCAAACAGAGCTGGACACAAGGCTTCGTTTATAAAGCTGAGTGAATAGCAAAAGGAACCTTTTTTTTTTCTTTTATCTCTTTTTCTAATTTTAATTTTAAATTTCTTTTTTGTTTTTTTGGATCTATGTGAGGTTATGGCATGGCATGGATGATGATGATGAATCGATGATAAGATGACGTGGACAGGACAGCTGTACGTGGAAGCAGGGATGATGACAAGAATGGTGAGTGGGGCCACGAGGTTGAGTGGGGACAGGAGATTCCATCAATCAGAGAAGGACAACGTGGTGTGTGGGGCCCACTCACCCGACATGTGGTGTTTGATGTTTGATCCTCTCTTACTTATTGCATATCCACATATGTTACCAAAATACCATTCGTCTTCTTTTTTTTTTTTGGATAATTGTTTGTGATGAGAATTATTCATTTTGTTTCCTTTTCGTTTTGATTTAATTTTCGATCAAATGAAATATAAAATAAAATTGTCATGGAGGATATCTTTTGATGATATACATTTGGCTTAAAACAAACTCGAGTTCGTTGCTGATAAAGATCGAGTTTCTTCTAGCCGTATTTTTTTTCAAAAGATTGATGTTTTATGTTAGTTTGGATCATAACATTGTAGAGATGGTACCGATGATGATAATCTTCATGTTTTATAAAATTTTACACAATACATATTTACTTGATCAGGGCAAGTTCATAGATTTATTCGACTTGAGGCATAGTGGCACACGTCTTTACTTTTAGTTGTCGTCGTGAATGCTCATTAACTCATCCTAATATATACCTCACCTATCATAACATGGTTTACTAGGCTCGAACTTAAAAGCCACCATGATTCAGGGTGCAAATCTCAATCAAGTATTAGTTTTCAATATCTTTTGAGGCACGCTACTTGGAAATAGTGGACATAAAATTGAAATTTGTTGAATTCTTTCGCAGTTCTATTATCATTATACCATTATATGTTCCTTGATCGTTAGAGTTGCTTCAATAAACACCACATCAATGTAGGTGAACTTTTTTAAGGTAATTTTTTTTTTTTTTTTACCGATCACAGTCGGGTAATAATATATTCTAGCCCTCTGGTAGAATTTTCACATTACTATTTTGAATTCTAAAGATGTACTTTAGTGAGCTAAAGGAAGAAATAAGCTTAATTAAATAATGTTTGCTAGCTTAAAACTACTCCTATCTTTTTTTTTTTTTAACATTATATTAAAACTACTCCTATCAAATGGTTATTTATTGTCATTGTAATTTTTAAACACCCACTTTATTATTTTTAGATTAGACTCATGATGAGTAAATATTCAATTTAATTACACATATTCTTAATTTTTTTTTTAAAAGCAAATTTATTAAATTAAGCCCCTGGAGCATTAATTGAAGGGTAATCTCCCTTTACACAGTCCAGAAACCACGGACTGACCCAAAACACAGTATCAAAAGACAAAACCCTCTTTTCGCCAAATTGTGAGCTGGTTTGTTGCAGGGACGATGGATATAGCCAAACGAAATCGATTCAAAGGAGGAAGCAAGAGAATGCACTTCCAGCAATCAGCCTAATCCGTCACCAAAGGTAGAGATTTCATCCTTAATCAACCGAATCGTCATAAGGGAGTCAAATTCCACACCAACACTATGGCAGTTCATGACTTAGACAAACAGTAAGATATCAAAAATAGTATTGCAAATTTACCAACGTAATCTCAAACACCATTTACAGAACTATCATACATTTCAAAATATTTTACAAACTACTTTATGTATATATATATATTTTTTTTGTTCAAACTCACAGCAAATTCAGACAAAACCAATAATAAAATGATAGGGATGAATAGGAATTTTATGTTTATCCACTAAAAGTTTGAGTGTTTGTCTTAATTTTCTAAAAAAACATTGGACAAAATCTAGACCATTCGATCCGGCACGTGCTGGTCTGACACGTGGTAATCCAATCTGATCATATCTTGAGTTCATGAATCAAAAGAAAAAGCCAAATAGATTGCAATTCTTTGTTTAATATATATATATATTTATTTAATTTTGTTTTCTTTTTCCCCTTTCTTTATCATCTTCCTTTTTGTCTTTTTTCCCTCTTTTTTGCAAATTAGGGTTTTTTTTTTGTCTATTTTCTTATTTTAACAAAGATTACAGGTTCATCTTCTCTCATGTAACAGATAATTGTCAATTTTGGCTTCAAATTACTATTTTTCAATATATCGAGTAGAGTTTTATCTTATATTTAGATTCAATTATCTTGAGTAACAAGATTAATTTACAAATTAATTTCACAAATTTCTGTGAACTAAATTAAAAAATCAATAGTCTAATGTTTCTGACATACTATTAATAACAATGGAATTTTTCTTAGATGGTGAACCCTAAACTTGTCGATTTCTAAAAAATTAAGAAATTGATTAGGATGAAGATTGAAATTCTAAGTAGGGTTAGAGACAAGAAAACCATCTCTAATTCCACCTTCTGTAAGATCATCCTTACAAAATGACATATATGAGACTTTTAATTTAAAAAATTATCTTTAAGTTTTATCTAAATTAACTCATTTCTGCCCTTAATAAATCAAAACACATACTTTCTTAATTCTCTAGGTTAAACTTGTAAATATCTCTTAATAGATTTTCTTTTGGTTAATTTAATGAAAGCTTGACCAGAAGGACTTAATGATAAATATTAGATTGATTGTACCATTAGTTTTGTTATTGTTATATACTAATTTTTACACTATATGAGTAGTTTCCGTTGTTATATTGAGTTTTCCTATACTTGGATGGTGACAAATTAATGTTAATTTAACATTGAATTTGACTTATTATTGGGATTTGGATGTAATTTAAATAAAAATAAATCTTATTTAATTATTGGAAAATAATCTTTCAAATCAACCGTAAGGATGACATTGATGTTATCCAAATGAAATTCTTTAAAAACAATTTTCCTTTGCTTAGCATTTAAAATATTGAACTATAAAATTACTATTATTACCTTTTTGGAGTACACATAAAATTATTATTTAGTTCAATAGTATATTTAAATGTTAACCTTTTAATTTTTATTGAAAAGAAGGAAGTTTTGAGAGTTTTTTGCCCTAGGAATGGGGTGATCAAACCTAGCCCATCAAACGAAAATTGACAGAATCGAAATCGGTCAATCAGTTTTAGAAAGCCTATGATCGATACTAGATCAATCAGTATTCTGGCGATATAAAAAATTGACACTCATTATCTAACAGGAAATTAAAAAATATATATGTTGATGCGGTGGCATCTATGGATCTCGTCAAATCGCACCAATCTTCAAGAATAGAAAGGATCCACAAAACCTACAAAACCAAATAGTACTAAAGACCGGTGTGACTCTTACCCCATAGGCTTTGATGCTTAAGTCAGAATCAGAGTAGTTGAATATGAAGAGTGGTATTTTGGCATCCCTCTAGATTTTGGTTTTCCCTCCTATTTATAGAAGTCGAGTCGTAATACCTTTAGGAATTACAGAAGTTGAATTCTAGTGTGCACAAGAGATCTGGACTTCTAGACCGGTGCGTTTCGTCGTGGACCTAATGTTGGATTGAAGGCCGAGGCAAGGTAGGATCGGATCGAGTTGCACAAAGGTCGAGGAGAACCATTACAGTTCTAGGCCGGAAGCCGAGAACTGCTTGGCACCGAGACATGGTCAGCATATCAATCTCAGTTTCACCCCCTCAAATCTCAATTTCGGCTCCAAATCGACACTGACCGACCACATTAATGATCACTCCTTAGGGAGTCATCTTTTTTTTTCCCATTTCTTGACTGTCACCATATATTTTTTATACATAATAACATCCTGTGAACTAAAATTTTAAAATTTGGATAATATCAATAAATCTTCTTTATTTATCTACCACTTGAGAAGGGTATGGTTTCTTCTCACATGTTAAATGGTAGCCTCTTGAAAACTTCTGGAACCAAATTGAAATGTGAAAGTTTTTCTTTTCATATTTTTTTTTATCAATTGAAATGTGAAAGTAATTGCCATAGGTGCAAAAGTAGTTTTTTTTTATCATAGTTATTATTAAATTCTAAAATATATGATTGTTTAATTACAAATGATCTCCGTAAAATTAATCAAATTGATTTAAATAACTGAACCTAATTCAATCTCTACCCACATTCGCAATTTAATCTTATTATTATATTCTAAAAAGATATATCAATAATATGTTTTAAAACATTATTATAACAATATAAAATGGCATAGTGTTGTTTGTGATGCATTATTACTTTCAAAGTGGAATTGGTAAAGAAAATGAGACCTACAAAAGGGTTTAGTTAGCCATTTTGACTAAAGCTATGCAATGTTCTACCTGACCCACGTGATGAATCAAAACCCTAGCAAAATGGTGTGACTTTTGAGACCTACAAAAAGTGAAACTTCTACAAACAAATATATATAAAAATATAATTAAACAATATTTTTAACATATATAAATTTTATATGTGGGAAGAAATAAGGGGAGGAGTTAGGTCATATCATCATACTAATTATGTCTCAAACCCATGAACCAAATATATAAAACAAGACAATATGGGTGGAGAAATATAATATTATTTGAAATAATAGAAACAAAATACTCTAACAAACAAAGAGGGAAAAGGAAAATTGGGTCATCTTCTATTAATGTAGTCTCAAAAGTGATGGAGAGAGAGGAATTAGGAGTCTCTTTTTGTTTTTATTTTGGTTTTCTCCTTCTTAACAAAGAAAAATAAAATCGTATGACTCCCTATACCCATGAATATTCAATAGTGATAAAATAGTATTTGTTCTATGTTTGGAACAAATTGGAAATGGGAATAAGAAACAAGAAATTTAGGACTCGTTTGGTAAAGCTCCGGCTTGTTTCTTGTTTATTGTTTACAATTTTTTTTTTAAAAAAAATCTAAGTATTTTGCAACTAACTGTGTAATTTTTCTCGGAACATTATAGAAATTTTGGAAATAATCAAAACTATTTTCTTCTTCCTTTGTTCA